CGCCTCTATGCCCCCCCAAAAAAAAAAAAAAAAATCGGTAAAATATACATTTTGCCTTCTGTGGGTTTTTGATTTTTTTAAAAGTCAATTTTTGAACTAGAATGCTCATCTTCAAACTCGATGTGTCTTTTTATGATACAGAACGACCCTAAAATTCCCAGATCGCTCTATCAATTCTTTTTCGAGTTATCATGCGGACAGACATACAGACAAACAAACAAACAGAATGAAACTTTTCCGGTCAGTTGAGTTATGGGCTTCGCTAATCGCTCAGCCAATTAAATGTATTGTTGGCATTGTTGCTCTAAACTCCATCATACATATACTCGTTTGAACCGGAATTTTGTGACAAAAGTGATGGTGTTCTAAAAAAAAAAATTACTTTTTAAGGAGAGAAAATAGTTTTAGAAAGTGTGAGACACAGTAGGCTGACAGACCTCCCACCTGAACCGCGTTATTGTTTTTAGAAATATACGAGATTGGAAACACTTTGTAATCGCGGCACCGTATTGGGCATAGTGCAACGTCTTGGTGCAGCATTCCTAGGACAGATTTCGCAGCTCTCAACTAATTCGGCTGGCGTTGAACTTATTTCAAATATGAGACCAGCGTCTCAGTCTGTACACAGCAAACATTTCTCCGTGAAGTCTCCGGTTGATTTCGGAAAAGCACTACCCAGTTCACTTTTCCTTGCTCATATTTTTAGGATATGTAGGAACTTAGAAGGAAAGAACGCGTATCTGAGGCAATTTTGAAGGCAAATCAGTTAAAAAAACAAATCTGAGGACGGCCCAGCTTTATTTCTACCGGCACGGCTCACAAACCATCAAAAATGCGAGATTAATAAAACACGAAACTTCGCCAAGTTGTGCTCTGCGCATGCGCCAGAGAGAACCGGAATTTTTTCCGGAAAAAAACTGGGAACTTTGAACTTTCCGGGAAAATGTTCGTTGTGTACCGCATTCCGAGTAGGGTCTGAAGTAGAACTGTGTCCACGCACTATCGTCCGGCACCAAAGCATTCTTGGGGCTTGCTTACAATCCAAGGAGGACACCTGTAATTAGTTGAGATTGGGACCTGGCGGGGAATCGGCTCAAGGCTGTGCCCGGCTCGGCTCAACAAAGCGTGGCAACGCGTTGCGTAGCTAACGTGGCTTGGCTGTGACTTCGCCTTACTGTTTTGTAATTTACCAGTACCAAAATGTGTCGTAAGTGTAGTACAACCTTCCACTCCTAATCGTTATTCGAACTGTTCGACATTTTCCATAAAACAATTTCTTGTACCCGGCGTGTCTTTGAAGTGTACAAGAAAACTGCCTTCCGCTGTAATTTCCAGCCAACACCTACCTTGACACAACGGCAATGGGCGTGGACCCCGCCGTCCTCCTGGGAGGCCTCGGCTGCCCCCCTGACAGCGGCATGCAGGGGCCTGTCACTCAGGCCGCTGGCCTCCAGGTCAGTGCGGGGGTCAGTGACGAGCGCGCGGACAACGCGGTAGTGGCCGTGGAAGCAGGCGAGGTCAAGCGGGCTGTGCTTGGGGCCATCACTGGCGGCCGTGCGGTTGGGGTCCGCGCCGCCCTTGAGAAGCGCCTTGGCCACGTCGTGCAGACCCTCCTACAACGGGACGGAAGAGAACGATGATGCAGGGCACTTTACGTATCGCGTAACGTAACGTCCAAAACCGGTTAGTAATGAGTCGAAATCAGGACGTTAATGATGTGTTTTCTGCTGCGTCAGAATAACACCGGTGCACCGCCTTCTTTTCACGAAATCTGAAAAGGACTGGACAAGTAAGCATCTTACCAATAGAAAATATTATGCTGTTTGGTCTATTTGTATGCACATTTGTCCCTGATCAGATTCAAATTTGCATCTGCTGGAGATGTGCACAAAAACTCATCATTCTACATGGACAGTATTCAGATTTAGTGTTAAAGGTGTGCGAATCATCCTTTTTCAGAGTCGAATCGAACCTGAATTTTTTCCCCTCGAATCGAACCTTAAAATTTTACCCCGGATCGAATCGAATCATTTCCTAACGTTCTAGGAGATGCCATAAACCATTAAAAATGGGCAGTCAATCAGTGTTGGGCTCAGATTCTTTCTAAAACGAATAATTTGGCAAACCATCCTCTTGTCTAGTGAAAAACCTTTCCTCTACTATATCAGGGTTCATACCTAGAGGTGTGCGAACTGAGGTTTTTCAAAGTCGAATCGAATCGAATCGAATCTTCTTTAAAATAACTCGAATCGAATCGAATCGAATCGAAGCTGTTTGATTCGAATTCGACTCGAATCGAATCGGCAGTTTTAGTATTTATGAAACGTTTAGAGTGTTTATGTATATGGATTAAGTCTAAAACGGTTAATAAATCAGGTTTAATTTTCCTCTTTCAAATTCTAATGCCTTTTGAACAGTCTCAGGTGGAATTGGAGGAGGAAAATATGTTTTATACAAATAAACTGCCAGAATACTGCCGCGCCGGTTCGATTTCGAACTCGACACTTAAACTTCCTCGAATCGATTCGCATTCGAATCACTTCAATTCGTAATCGAATCGAATCGAATCTACCCAGATTCGATTCGATTCGA